GTGTGGACTTCAACTCCCAGAATTCATGCTGGGAGTTGAAGTCCACACATCTTCAAGGGGTCAAGGTTGAGAAACACTGCACTAGATGGAGTCAGTCAGGCATGTCTAGTTGGGAAGAGGGCCCCAGTTTGAAGACAAACAGATTGCCTTCAATACTTCCTTCAAGGACACCCTATTATTGCAGGTCTAGGAGCTACAGCAAATAAAATGATGCTAAAAAGGACCGAATGGTGATCTTCCCCAACAAAGATTGTGCAGACTTCCCCCCAAGCTCTTCCCATTGCATTACTGATTGTCGGGTCCTAGGAAAACAATAGCAGAGGTAGCCAAAGAATATAAAGTATGATTAGCCGAAGGCTTCCTGGCCATTCCTTTTGTTCATCAGAACCACGGGCTTAAGCTTGTCTGCTCATCTTTGAATCTTCTTTGTGAACCAGAAGGAGCCTGGAAGGAGTTTGTCCTCCAGTTGTCAAAAGGCAGGATCACCTAGTAATGCTTCTGCTTCAGACCTGTTATAAAAAGAAAAGAAAAACACCATCTGTTTTTATTAGTTTGGGCTAGTGTGAGCTTGCTCCTGCTTTGCTGCTCTCTTTTTTCCAGAGCTGAAGCCGTTCAGAAGAAATGCAGATCTTCCTCTCTTTCCAACTGTTAGAGGATTCATCTGATACTGACCTGCTAGGACTGGAATGTGGGGCACAAGCTGCAAAGGAAAAGCAATTCTTCTGCCCCACCCCATTTCTGTCTCCAACCCAAAAACGTTCTCCCTATTTATAGTATTTCTCCATTAAGTAATACCTGTGCAAAAGTTGCTCCCTTAGCACATGTGGAGGTGAATGCTACATCTTGTGAATCTCTCTCTCTTTCTCTTTTTGCTATGGCAGGCAACCTTCAAGGTTCTGGCTTCCTTATTGATGCATTAGCAGGTTTCAAGATTAATAAACAGAAGATGAAGATGTTAACAAGAAGTGTGAAAATAGAAGATCAAACAGAATTGATGAATAAAATGGGTTTTAAGGTTGAGAAGAAGGTAAAATATCTAGGTATCACTATGACAAATATGAATTGTATGTTACAGGTAGTCCTCATGTAACAATCATTCGTTTAGTGGCCATTCAAAATTACAATGGTGCCGAACAAAGGGACTTACAACCAGTCCTCACACTTACAACCATCACAGCACCCCTGTGGTCATGTGATTGCAATTCGGGTGCTTAGCAACCAGTTCACACTTACGACAGTTGCAGCGTCCCAGGGTCATGTGATCGCCGTTTGCGACTTTCCTAGCCGGCTTCTGGCAAGCAAACTCAATGGGGAACTACATGATTTATTTAACAACTGTGTGATTCGTTTAACGGCCATGATGATTTGCTTAATGACAGCTGCAAAAAATGTCATAAAATCAGGTGCAACTTGCTTAACAACTGCCCTGCTGAACAATGAATTTTCTGGTCCCTATTGTGGTTGTGAAGTGAGGACTACCTGTATTTTAAAATAACTATGTTAAGACATGGAATGAAGTGAAAAAAGATATGTTAAGATGGGAGAAATTACAACTGTCATTGCTGGGGAGAATTTCTGTGA